ATGCTCGTCGTTATTATCATTAGTGTTAACCATATTTTCATCCTCAAAATGCCTAAGGTCAAAATCAGTTGCAGATTTTCTTTTAATAAAATTATACATAGCCATTGTTGCTCCAAACATACAAACTTGTGTCACAAATGGATAGTTAGCCATATGTCGTAAGATTGCAAATCTATTTTTACAAACCCCAAAAGTCCTTTCAATCGTGGTTCTTAAACTTAAATGATAATAATTGAAAACCTTATTATTGTTTGCAAATTCAGATGAATGCTTGAAATTTAGAAGGTGATACCTATGAGATCTATAAGGACCTAAACATTCATATGGCATTGGATAGCCAGCATCTAATAAATAATATTTACCTACCAATAAAAAATAAAAATTGTAAGATCAAAAAAATTGAAAAAATTATTTTAAATTAGATAAATATAAAATATACCTTGGGTTAGATGTGAAAATTTCATATCCGGCCTTCTGAGTACATAGTTAAATAAACGAGCATCATTTTCAGTCCCTTCCCATCTAGCCATGACATAAGTGAATCACATACGACTATTATATTTTATGTTGGAATACCTTTCCTTCCAATATAGTTCCCTTGTTCTTCAACACTGACCACGTACATGATATGTGTTCCATCAATTGCTCCTATGACATCTTTAAAGAATGGCTAATATCGTGGATCACTTAAAATTTTTGGATGTATATCTTGAAAAGTGTGATTTTTTGGTTGAATATATTCATTTGCTAACTTCTCACAAGCATGCAATACATTTCTAAAATGTCTGTGAATAGTCTATGCTGAATGTTGAAATCATTCTTATACTATCCTATTCCCTACCTCATGTCTAACAATATTTAGAAACATACCGACCATTTCATGAATCTCTATTCTTCTAGTTAGATGTAAACCATGTTGCACTAGTTCATCACAAAGTTAAAGAAAAACATCTTTTTCCATGCGAAGTATGTCATAACAACGTTGAGGATGCCTTTGCAAAATTTCTTGCACCCATACATAACTTGATTGTGAACTAGTTCTATAAGGCCCTTTCAGTAAAGTTGTTGAATAATTAGATACTATTACAGTAATAGCCTCAACCTCATCGTCTTCTACATGTACAAGTAATTGTAATAAGTAAGACTGCATACTTTTATTCATAAAAATTGCATAACATAATTTAACAACCATTACACTATTGTTCATGACTTAACATAAAAGACATATAAAACAAGAGTCAAATAATACAATCAGTTTGAAAAAAAAAGTTAACAACATAAACGGTACTAGCTGGATTTAAAACATTGAGAAGGCAAGCTATAATTGATCTAATCTGCTTTTTTGCCTAAGTACTTTAAATAGGCCACTAATGCTCTTCTATTATCCTTATGCCCAATATACATGTCCCTTGTAGTTTTATCTAGCAAGGCCATAGCACATTGTTTAAGAAGTGCCTCATCACAAGCAATCTCCTTAATTCCATAAAGTTCTTTTACAATATCCACCATATTTTGATCAACTAGTTTTGTTCCACTCTCTATGGAATTAAGAATTGACTTCAGTGTTGAAACCCCTATCCTCTTGTGTGGAAACCAAATAGCTCACTCAATTAATCATCATTGTTGCAAGACGTTTTCCCTTCTTGTTTTGACCATTTTCACCTCTCTTTTGCTTGCTCCCTAAATTAGTACTACCACTGTATGCATTATTCAAGTAAACCTACCCAATTTCTGGGAGAGCACCTCTACTAACATTTTTATGTCATCATTGTCTCTTGATCCTTCGGTCAAATCCAATTTAGGCCTATACACATTTTACAGATCATCAACTGTAAGTGTCCATACGTAAGTACCCCGTGTTGCAACTGGCTGGAATAACTATGTCAATTCTTGTATATATAAAAGTGGTCTATATTTGAATTTTTTGTTTTTAGGGTTCTCTTGCTCATTTACAAGAGTTGAGTCTATTATATTTACAAAATAAAGCATCAAATATATAGCATGCCATATATAATTGTATACCTTAATAATTTGATTCCACCACTCTTCCAGTGCTGATGCAGTATTCTTTTCGCTACCTTATCCCAAGTCGATCTCTTTGTTTAGCAGTTTGTCCCATATATTCCAATCTTTTCTCAAATTGTCCTATTTGTTCTTTAACTACTTCTTATCATAGCTTCTAGAGCTTAATGCATTGAACTGTTGCATTAGCACATCCCAAACTTTATTTGATAAGGTAGAGCCTTTATGCTTATTTTTTCTAATTTATTGGAGAGCTAATTTGATGAACAATTCAGTCCCTTCAGCAGTCCGCAATGCCTTCTCTTTACTCATATTTACTATCAAAATGTTATATTCTCAACAATTAATTAACATAAATCAAACCTATATATATATATATATCAACCAAACACAATTTGCACACAAATCTATCTTCTTTATTGCACACTTTGACTAGTCTTGTTAGTTAACATACTTAATCACCTTTTGAAAAGCACACTTTTCAAACCTTTATTATTGGATTTATATTGTGAAGCCTATGTTTGTGTGTTTGTTTATATGAATGAACTTAACCCTCTTTTCCACAATGCATGCACGCTAATGAGAATCCAGAAAGCTTTGAAGAAAGAAAAAGAGCATATAAGAATAGAAAAGAAAGGTGATGATGAGAAAAAAGTTTTGCACAAAGACAAAACATTTTTTTTTTTGCTTTCATGATAGTTGCGACTTTACTATTGGCTTCTTTCATTTAGTGGATTAGATCTTGGGTCGTTGGTAGTTTTCTTTTTATTTCTTATTTTTTTCTGATGCAAAAAGGTCAGTTAGCATCTTAGGGAATCTTTAAATTATTATTTTATGTGTTTCTCTTTTGCGCTTATAAAAACATGAGTAGAAGAAAGTGAGAGGGCTACAAAATTTGTACCCCAATACCCATACAGTAACATTTTTATATATGTCTTATGCCATAAGAAAAAATGGTTTGGAATTTGCAGATCATGAGAATAAGACACAAAATGCCAAGAAAAGTTCACTAGATTTCTCATTGTTAATAGCCAGGACAAAATGGTTGGATTTTGAATTACTTTCTACCAAATAATAACATGTGGTCACAATATAGCACAATTATTGTAAATCATTCCAATCAAAATGTTAAGCTCAATATAGCAATCTATAATACAAGTTTATGAGAAATGTGAATTTCCAATTATCATAAATCATCATTCACTAAGGAAAAGTATGTACACAACTTTGTTCATTCATTAGAATATATTCAATAAAAAATGTGAATTCTCTTGCACTCCCAGGATACATCAAACAACACATTCATAGTAAAGGATAAATTTTCTTTCAAAATTTATCGAATTTCATATTCATTAAAAACATGCCTTGATTTTGTGTCTATATATATGAGAGGCTTTACATAATCTAAGAGTTGGCATCAAGGAGGGTTTACATCACTGTCAACATTACAAGGCATAAAATTTCTACTAAGAAATTCAGAACCAAACGAGCAAACAAGTTTAAGGAAAAAAAAAACAAAGCAAAACCTGATACTTCCAACAAAGAATCAGAGCACACACCGATCAAACATACCAATCCTTCTTTTTCATATAACCGAATATATATATATATATATATATAAGCATTTTACCCAAAAAAATTAGCAAATCAAAATTGAACCAACCAAAAACCAGAGGACCATTGGTTGAACATACTAGGCCATTATATTTTCATATATTCGTGCAAAACAGAGGACCACCGTTTTCAAATCTAGCAAAAAATGGTTGAAAGACATCATACCTTTAGATGAAAGAGCAGATTAGAGAGGAGGTCAAAGTTTCGAGTTGGTCCGAGTTTAGTTCAATAGGTTGCAAACCCAGGTGTTTTCGCTTCTGTCAGCTTTGCAACATCATCCAAGATTGAAAAAAAGCTCAATCCGTGAAAGATTCAAGCTACAAATGAGGAAATGGGCACTGGAATGGTGGGGAAGGTCAACAAAAAGTGATGAGGAGCTCGGGGAAGAAAGAATGGAGGGAGTTAGATCTATGACTAGATGGCGGAAGAGAGAAAGAGGAGAGACAGTGAAGTGACGAAGGACAGAAGGAGTGATGGAGGAGCAAGATTGGGCAACAAAAAACACACACAGAAGAGAGAACGATGAAATGAGTTCTGAGCCCAAGCTAGTTGCACGAGAAGGACAAAATCACGAGGGGCGTATCATGGTCGATTGCTTCTCATTTTTGCCGTTTCAACCCACTTTCAAAGTCAGTTGTATTTGATAAATGGATCCTAGACAATATTTGACTAACTAAAAGTAAAAAACCAACTTTTCAATGCTAAACGTAGAGAAACCAAATGCACCCTTGATATTGATCCCTCAAAATAATTTCTCTTTCAAAGAGGGATTTTATGACAATTTTTTCAAAAATATTCACGTCAAATGCCTTAAAATTTTCCATTCTACTGATTTTATAATAATAATAATAATAATAATAATAAGGAACTGACGATTTCATCACTGTGATGTGGGTTTGGCGCCTTTCTAATTTCTACCGATTTCATATTTTATTAATAATTATGAATTTATCAATGAAAAGCTAGTGCTCTCTTATTTTAAATTATAAAGCTTTTTTAGATTGATATTTCAAAATATAAAATATTTTAATAAAATAAAATTTATTAATTATATTTTTTTAATTATATTTTTTTTAATTTTTTATAAATAAAATATTAAATGAAGCATATTTTTTAAAATTAATATTTTTATTTTAAAAATAAAAATATATAACATATTTAATGAGTTTTATTTTTAAATATAATTTTATTTAAAAATATTTTACAATTTAAAATAGAGAGTACATTAGATTTTATTATCGAGTTTTTAAAACCGTAGCGGTGTTTTATGCACTTAACTTTAATTTTAGGCAAATTTCTTTTATTTTAGTTGAATTTGTAGCAGAAATGAAAATCCTGCCGCCCTCTGCAAATTTATACGAGCTCGGATTCCCGCCAAAAAGATCCCGGGGTAAGGGAGCAATTTAATCACGAATTAGCAATTTAGCATCCCAGGCATATCAATATCTGATTCTGATATCTCATGTACTCTGCCGAACGTCTCTAAGCTGGAGATGGTCTCTGCAAAACCGACGAGCGCCAAGAACCCTAAAAATGTGTATCACATCGGAGGCCTCCAAGTGGAATTTCCTTACCATCCATATGGTTCTCAGTTTGCATTTATGGGTAGAGTCATCTCTACCCTTAACCGGGCTCAGAGAGAAGGCCATTGTCACGCATTGCTCGAGTCTCCAACCGGTACTGGCAAGTCCCTTTCCCTTCTTTGTTCTTCCCTCGCTTGGCAGCAGAACTACAAGTTAAATAAACAGCACACAAATCTCTCTCACCTGAAACCCGCGCCAGAAGCAACGACAGACCCTCTTGTTTACGGTGGTGGATTTGTTCCTGACGAGGTTTTTCCGAGTAAGGGATTTCCTGCTGACTGCATTAAGAACTAATGCATCAATGTCATCATCATCACCATCATTTAAGTTTCAATAGGTCTTCAAGAAGACAGAGGGAGATCAATAAGATAGCGTATTTTAGCATTTTTCTTTTTATCGATATCTATGGATATATTTCAGCCGTTCAACTCGCTAAAAAAAAAAAAGGAAACTCGTGTGCTTCCGTGAAAAAAAAGTACAAACAATTCTTTGGACTTTTTTTTTTATGGGTTTTTGCGGTGAATTTCCAAATGATGTTCATTGAAGCAGGAAATTTCTTCCTCGTTGTTGTGCTGGTATATTCATGGGGGGTTTGCAATCAGAGCATTATCCTACCCAAATTAACGAATTAGGGTTCGTCTGCTATGCCTATGAAGATCAAATTACTAGATTAACGTCCAGAGTGTCACATACTTGTGATTTATACGTTTTATTCCAATATCTGTCAATCTGATGTTTTATTTGTTTGGTACGCTATTGTCCTCAAGCAATGCTACTTGATTTCAGCATCAGAAAATGTGGAGCTGCCAGAGTCTGGGGCTAACAAGATGCAGAAGAAAAAGGCTGCACCCACTATATATTATGCTTCGTAAGTTTTATTATCGTATTTTTTACCAATCGAATTATTTGCATAAATGATTATTGGTAAATATTTAAGAAAATCATGAATAGATGGTTATTTTAGACTTTGCTTCATTCGTTTATGCTACTATTACTTCTAAATCATTATGATACTTGTACGTGTGTCTTGTACAAAATTTCAAGATACTTGTGCATTACTTTCTTGTAAAATTCTAGGATGCTATTGTATTTTATAAAATACCTTGGAAAGTGTTCATATAACAATATATAACAAAAAATGTCAATGCATGTTCATAGAAGAAGTCACAATTATCATAGCTTTTTTCTTGCAGCATAAGATCAATTGTATAAGGAAGAAAGGCAAATACATGAGGATCATCTTAATTAAAGTGACCAACAATTAAGAGGATGGCAAATCCTTCGTAAGACATAAGAATACTACAAAGCAACCAATAGTTAGGTACCGGTTATTTCTGAATTAATGTTAGCCAATGATGGAGCATATTAATATAAATTGGAATATGCCCTAAAAGGATAATTACTGCTACATGTTGGTGGCAATTTCTGAACAATCTTTATGCTTTTCCAAATTTCACCAGCATTAGATGACCTGAGTCTTGACTGTGTGTAAGAAATTTGGAGCAGAATTGACACATTCAATCGATATTTTACTCCTTTTGCAATCAACCATCATCATCATCATCACTTGACTAAATCTTTTGTTGTGTCTTGTCTATATATAAGGAGGACACACTCACAAATTTCTCAAGTAATTCATGAATTGCGGAAAACAGCTTATAGAGTGCCTATGGCTGTGCTGGTAGGTGAAATCCTCTGCTTTGTATCTTTGTTCTTTTAATGTAAACTGCCTTCAAGGGTAAGGTTTTCTGATAATTTGTGGTTCTGAGTAATTTACTTTTATTTATTCATTTTTAGATGTATCTTTTATGGTTTCCTCCAGCAGCATTTTGTAGCATGTAATTAATCTTCATGCACACACTTTTGCTTAACTCTTATTTTATTAGGTAATATTTTCTTGTGTTTGATAATTTGTTTTATATTAATTTTAAATAAATATAATTAGCTGAATGAAACATTGTGATCATGAACCATAAATTGAGGGTTCTTATGCAACAAAATTTTTGAAACAATGTGCTCTACAATGTCAGTAATCCAACTAGTCATCTTTGGATTACATAGCTATGTGATCTTTAAGTATCATAGTAGTCAAGTCATTTGGATTTGGTTGTGTTTTGTAATAGTTGGCTTTTAGGGATTTTAGTCTTTTAGTTATTAGCATCTTATGGCTATGTAAAGGGGTGCCTTGGAAGTCAATAATATCATTTCTCATTCCTTAATCCTTTATCTTTTGCTAGCTAGTTATTTAGTTGAATCTTATGGATATATAAAGGGGTGAGAAGAGGGGTGTCTTGTTAGTTGATAATAATATCCTCATTCCTTTCTCCTATTCTCTCTTATATATCTCTTCTTAATTCTTCCTACTTCTTATCGCTTTGATAATTTGTTTTTGTTTTCTTTGACAGGCATCACGGAAGCATTATTGTACCAATAAACATATACTAGCAAAAGAAAATATTGATGAAGAATGGTTGTTTTTTTCCTCATGAATATTTTAATCCATGAGTCTATTGTTGACTTGTTGATTTCTATACTGATATATTTTACTAAATGATTCCAGTAAACTACTTTTGAAAGATCAGGCAATAGGATGCCCAGAATTCAAGTGAGTACTTGCTTACCTACACATCCTTCCAATTATTAATGTACTATCTCTCAATCTTCAATGAAAGTAGAAGCAACCAGAAACTTATAATTAAACAGAAATGCGCATAAAGTCAAAAGTCATCCATCCCTACAAAGAGGAGGATGTTATGAGGTACATGATATAGAAGATATTGTGAAAGTTGGACAAGCAGTGAAAGGTTTGGCTTCTTATTGCATTCTTTTTAATATTTGTTTCTGTTTTGGAAGATTTCATTGTTTTATCTACTAAATATTCCATGTTATCTTAATACATGTGACAAAGACATTTTATATTTCCAGGTTGCTCCTATTATGCAGCCCGCTCTATGTCAGATGATGCGCAATTGGTATTTTGTCCTTATAGTTACATTATCAATCCAGTCATCCGGGGAGCAATGGATGTAGATATTAAAGGAGCTATTGTGATTCTGGATGAAGCCCAGTGAGTTTATCTTTTGTCCTTTTGGTTTCTGTCAAGTATCATTTCATCTCTAAAGCTTAAATTTGTCTAATGATCATTTCCCTTAGGTGATATAACACGCACACAATTGCACAAATTTGAACAGAGGGAGATAGTAGAGAAAACTAGAAACAGAGAGGGAGAAATGGGGAAAGAGGAAGACAGAACAGTAAGGGGGAGGAAGAGAGGAAGGTAGAATGCGCAGAGAGAGAAAGAGATCAGACTTTCAGCATGATACTCATTCATTCAAATCTTTCTTTACAAGTGCAAGGCTTAGTCTATTTAAACTAAGCTTTCTTACCTAATAAGGAAACCTTAATAACCCATCCATATAAAGTTACAGATTTCCTCTTACAAAAATAATACAAAAGGAAACCTATTTCTTCCTAGAATAAGCTATAACCTGGGAGGTTTCTCACAAGTTAGAGTAAAATACAATGATAATCTGCTAGCCTGGGTTTCATTAAAGTATGTTATTCTTATATTTCATCATTAGGTCTCATTATATTTGTTTTTCCTTGCATCCTTCTGTTCCTTTTTTCCTTCTTTCTGATGTCTCTTAACTTTTATGAGTAAGTGGCAGAATCCTTGTCTCCCACTCTATATATTAATGGTTTATTTCTAATAAAATACAGACAAAAATATGCAGAACATTCTTTGTTGCCTTTTCTTGTTTTATGTGGTGTTTTTCTTCACCAGTCTCAACTGTTTACAGCAATATAGAGGATATCACTCGCGATGCTGGTAGTGTTGATATTGAAGAGGATGTTTTGGATAGTATGCTCTCAATCTTGCAGCTCTTGTTTTGATTCTTGGTAATTATGATTCTAAATTGTTGTTATAATCTCTTGAAAGAGCTGCAAATGGAGCTTCAACAACTTTGTCCTGTCAATGCTTTGATATACCAACCTTTGTATGAAATGGTGCAGGTAATTAATTTTGAACCATAAATATTTGACTTTTAAACATGCAGCCAATATCCGTGCATTTTTAATGGGAGCTGCAACTGTCTAGGGTCTTACAAGCTGGATAGAACGTAGTAAAAAAAAACTAGAAAAGCGTGATTTTCGGCACTATGTATCTTGGTAAGCCAAGGTTTTCTTCCTTTTTCACATCTTTATCCATTGTTTTTATTCATGCACCATAGACTATATTACAGCATATGATGTTCTGTATATATGGTGTAATCATGCTTTATGGGGAGCAATATTATAAGAATGAACACTCATATTCAATCATATCAATATGCTAATGTGCACAGCTCAAGATACTTTACTGTTGCATTTCACAGTATGGTTAATATGGATCCTTCTAACGGGCTGATATTATTGTTAACTTTGAACTTGTTGAATGTTCATTTCTATTCTTCATGAGTAATGCATGCCTTTCTTTTCTCCCCATGTAATCTGTGATTGTTAATGTGTTCAGAAAATTAGGAATTGAGTATTTTTATTGCTGTTTCGAAGCCTGTGGAGGTGCCAAAAAAATTAATCACTTGATTATGCATACTTTTAAGTAAATGCCATGTCATGCATATTCAAACATTTATAGTACGAACTTGGTTTTTGTTTCCCTATTTGATCATTTGTTTTGAGTGAGTGACTGGACCATTTGGATGTATACTTTCTCTTTTGATGTTTACTGGGTGAGAAGTGATGGATTATTTTGAGTTCATACTTCTTTTGATTTAATCCTTCTTTCTTTTTCTATCTTACCTGAATTGATGGTCTGAAAGTTAATGTCTTTACATCTCAAGCAACTTACAGCCTACAAATTGTGCAAGGGTATTAACATTGTAGGTTGTTTGTATGCATAGTTGGACTGGGTCAAATGCTTTAACAGAACTCCAAGAAGCAAATATTTCACGTCAGTGCTTCCCTATCTTGCTAGAATCTGCTACCAAGGTATCTCATTTATATTTGGGCTAATTCCTGTGCTTGTGTGTCACTTATCAATTTTGTCTTTTTGTTCAAGGCAATCAAAGTTGCTTCAGACTTGGAGTTAGATGTACCACATTTAAGTGGCATGTCAGTAATGACACTAGAAGGTGTGGAATTATGATTGTATATGGTGTTGTTTTGTTTATAAAACATTATATCATTAATGATGTTCTATGGCAATCTTGTTTCAGGCTTATTCTCTTCACTAACATATTTCTTCTCAAGAAATGGTTCTCACATGCTGGATTACCAGCTTGCTCTGCAGCGAAGTGTTAAGAAAGAAGCTGGTAAGTAGTTGAACTTTCAAGCAGAGCCCTTTATAGTAATGCTGTTTATCCCTTGTCACTGAATGAAAAGTGGTTAGGAAGGTTTATGTGTTATAGGGATGGATTGGAGAAGACAAACAATGACTCTTGCTCTTGATTTGGCAATAAAATGAACAGATAAATTGATTAATTGCATTATATTTGTTGCTGCTAGGACACCCTTGTAATCAGTGTTATATTACTGTGTCAGGAAGATCTTTTGGAAATTGGACCCACACTTTGAGTTTATGGTGCTTGAATCCAGCAGTTGTGTTTAGTGACATTGCCAATCTTTCTTTATCGGTCATTTTGACTTCTGGGTATGTTCCCTGGGCCAAGTTTATGCAAATTCAGGCTATAGTTCTTTTTGTATTCTTCAGTTCTGTGCATGAATGCTTGTGGTTGGCTAAATAAATTTATTGGAATGGTCAAAAATCCTGAGTGGCCTGTTTTCTGTTGGAATGTTCCAAAGAAAGCACTTATCAATTTATTTATCTGTAAGCATGTATCTATTTATCAATTTGTACAAGACCCAGAACATGGACCAGATATTGCAGGGCAGCAGGATCAGTTTTGCCGTGGCATGTCTTTTTCCATAAATCCCTCTAATTCTTCTAAGTATTCTCACTTGCATTGGTTTTGGTACTCTAGGACTTTGTCACCACTGAACTCCTTTTCTTCTGAGCTAGGAGTTCAGTTTGAAACTAGTCTGGAGGCTCCACATGTAATTGATGTTGACTCTCAGGTCCTATCTTCGCACTTTATCAGTTGTCTGACCTTTTACTCTTGTTAGTGTTATTTCAACAAATGTTTGACCTCTTCCATACAGGTATGGCCTGCCGTAATTTGTACTGGTCCAGGTAATTATCCTTTGAATGCAAGTTATAAAACAGCAGATGTATATGCATTCCAGGTACTCATTTCAAATTTTTCTTCCCCTAGGTGTTTTTCTTCGCCTATGTGAACAGACTATTATTGTAGGTGTCTTTGTAGGATGCAGTTGGAAGATCTTTAGAGGAAATCTTCAAAATTGTCCCTGGTGGCTGTCTGTTTTTTCTTTCCAAGTTATAAATTAATGGAGAAATTATGCAATCGATGGTCCGAAACAGGTCAATGGTCTCATCTAAATGCAAAGGAAAAGTCACTTTTTGTTGGTCAGTTATCCTTGTGCCTTTCTAAATACTCATTGGAATTTAGTGAATAAACAATGAGTTTCTCTTAATATTGACAGTTTCCTATTTGCATCCTTTTTGTGCAAAGTCAACATTGAGCAAAATTTACTTGGTATTTGAAATTGATCTTGTCTATTGACAACACTTTTGTTTCTATATCTTGTCTGGGTATGCAGAACCTAGAGGAGGAAGCCAAGATGATTTTGATCTGGCTTTAAAAGGGTATTATGACTCAATTCATCTCCACACTTCACCTGCATTGGGCAGGAAAAAAAGGGTTAAGAATGTTGGCTATAGTCACTTACATGCAGTCAATTCTCCACAAAATTCTAAGAAAGGAGGAGCTGCTTTACTTGGCGTTTGTCGAGGAAAGGTTTATTGCAATTGCACCTATCTTGTACCTTATATTCTGCATTTCTTATTTAAAATCTAAATGATGGCAATTGGTCTTTCATTATGCTTAAGTAGTGCTGAAATTGATTCAAATGGTTGTGTAAGTTAATATACCTAGAGGAAAAAGTGTCTGCATTTTGGTCTATAATCATATCACTACTATCTTATTTTATGTCATCGGATCCAAAGTACATTGTAAATGAACATGTCTAAAATATTATGTGTTGGTTAATTGACATAAAGCACAGCAAATATATGTTAGGACTTTATATTTAAAAGTTATAGAAAAGACATTGATAGAGACTTGATAGTATGGGATATCAAGTCCCACATTGAGTAGCGTGGGCTCAATGGGGTATTTGAGTTGGCTCTTCCACCTTAACATCTATTTTTTGGGGTTCCCTACTTTGCTTGGGTAACCATCAATTGGTAGCGGAGCTTGGTTGTCAGTGGTTTCAGAAGGGGCTACCGACAGAGGGTTTTGACCAGCAGGAAGTTGGGTTAAGTGCCACAGAGTGTAGTCTTTAGGACATTGGCTTTTTATGGTCTCGAATTGATGGTGACTTGGTAGTATAGGATATCAAATCCTACATTGAGTAGTGTGGGATATTAAATAGAGTATTTAAGTGGGTTGGTTTTCCCACCTTAACAACTAGCTTTAGGGTAGGGTTTCTCATTCCACTTGGTTACCTATCAAACATCAAATTCCTTCATTCACATTTTGTGAGGTAAATTGACAGCATTTATGAAGTGTTTAGACTCATACATGGAATGGTTCCACAACTTTTGAAATTTTCCCTTTCAATAATGGAACATGTTTGGTACTAAAGCTATTATCTTTGCATTAAAATGTCAATACAGATGTTCACCAAAGAAAATGGTCAATGGAAATTATTTTGGCATAGATTTATTCAAACTGCTAAAAATTTTAAGATTGGCATTATCTTAGTCCAAGATGAATAAAAATAGACTCTAGATTTCATTATACAATTTAAATACAAGCATGTGATGACTGAGCTTGTGAAAACACTATCACTAATTGAAATATAAGTAAATGGAATCAATTTGATGTGGGCATATGGCCTTATTAGCTGGATTGTTCTACCATATTCCACCATGGTTAATATGAAATTTTCTTATTATGTGACTGTTCATTCAT